TATCCATTCATCTGTCGATGGACATCTTGGCTCTTTCCACAGTTTGGCTATTGTGGACATTGCTTATGCTTGGTCTTTCTATCTCTCTAAATGCCTCTCCTCTGCCCCCCCCCCCATTTTGGACATGTCACTCAAGCTCATGATGTTGGCTAGGTATGACTCTTAAATATCTCTCCAATTCCTACTTCTTTCCTCTGTTTCCACCTTGCATTTCTTCCTTTTTCTAGACCACTGAACACAGGCATACCACCAACACTCAGACGTACGACACTCTGAAACTTTTTCCCTTCCTGTTCCCAATTTGTATAAATTACAACATTTTCTCATTCACTCAAGTTCCAAGGACCATTTTCCACTAATCTGTCTCCTTTAAGTCTCTTTCCTGAATAGCTGAAAATTTCTATCATATCATCATTATTAGGTGCCTAAAAACTTTTCTCTTCCACTTTTCAAGTTTGGACCTTAATTGTCTCTCTCCTGACCTCTTTCAGTATTGTCCTTAATGACTGTTTTCCTTGTCTCCAGAGTCTACTATTTCTGAGCCATTTTTGCACCGTTGCCCAGTTAAGTGCAATTTGGCCATCTGTTTATTTTATTGTATTTTTTATTTTACAGAGAGAGTAAGAGTGAGCGCAAGTGGGGGGAGGGGCAGAGGGAGAGAGGAAGAGAAATCCCCAAGCCGACTCCCTGCTGAGGGCAGACTCTGACACAGGGCTGGATCGCACGACCCTGGGATCATGACATGAGCTGAAATCTAGAGTCAGACGCCCAACTGACTGAGCCACCCAGGTGCCCCCCCGGCAATCTGTTCTAATTATGTCAATCATCTTTTCAAATAAAAAATGAAACTTCAATACTTCCTTACTAGTCATAAAGCCCAAACTCTTCAGCTGTATGTGATACATTATCAAAATTATTTTTTACTTTTCTGTATACTTTATGTTGTAATCAACTCAAATTGATAATAGCTCTTCTGAGTTTTCATGTATCTCCATACTCAGTATTGTCCCCTCTGCCTGAATTTCCATCTTCCTTTCTTTCCTTGACTAACTGTTACATTTTCCTACACCAGACTCCATTTCTCCCTCATATAAAACGATTTTTCTGATGCCCATATTGGAACATAATCTTTCACATACTGAATGCTCTGATTGACAATATTGTCTAATCTTATGCTATGGTTTTTAGTGTACTTCTAATCACCTTCAAGAGCCAAATCTCATGTCTGATTTATTTTGATAAGTGTTACAGATATTTAACATAGAGTGTTATGCAGAAGTGCTAACAAATATTTTTTAATGAATGATTCCTGGCTGGAGAGCAGGAATTTTGCAAGGAGGTATTACTCAATGAACAGCCCGAAGCTATAGGGAAATGTGTGAACCATAAAGCAGGTTCCAGAGAGTGGATGGGTCAGATACAGCCTGGCACAGGCCTATTTGGGCAAAGAGGAAGTCCTGGGGATGGGACCCAAGTGCTAACTTCCATGCTTCAAAAAAACGATTTCAACCCTTGGATAAGAGCAGATTCTGTGTGAAATTAAGAGAAAAAGCCCAAACTTTACCGGGTTTAATTACATACCCACCAAAGCAATTAGAAATTGTTTTCTGTGTTAAAAAAAGACCACATACAATTGCTGGAATTTATCTCAGAGGGTTTTTTTGTGTTTTGTTTGTTTGTTTTTGTTTTTTTCCCCTTAAATTTATTTTGAGATCACTAACCTAACATATCTGAAACAGTTGAGTACTCACATGGTCAACAGAGTTTTTTTTTCATTCTTTAACTTGAGGAAGCGAACTTTTGCTATTGCACAGAGCTGCTGTCTCCAGAGAGCCATGCCGCTGATTGATTTCTTTGTTTCCTTAAAGGAAGACAAAACTTGTTCCAGCTCAACAAGGCTTCCTGTATCTTTTGTCCTATTACTTTGTAACTCTCCCCAAATTCCAGCATCTATAAAACATAAAATCAATAATTTATAATGTGTCATTTTAGATGTGCATTACCTCAGATTGTTCTATGACCATCTTTTCACCAGAAGGTGTCAGAGTAGAGAATCTTGGGCAAAGATGCTAATAAACGAATTCATGGCATTATGAGAGTAACTACCAAAGAAAAGGAAACAAAGCAAAAAAAAAAAAAAA